TGCTTCCAGGCACTCAGGAAATACAGCTAGAAGCACGCAAGAAAATATGCCCACCCAGGAGCCCCAGTCTTATCGGATGAAAACGCACCTTTCACCTTTTCCTTGTGGCACGCGAGGACCCTAGGAACCACGAAAACTTTGCCCAGGAAACCCCCGGATTGACGAACCAAAGGTATATTCATCAATCAACGCCAAAGCTTAAACTAAAACAACTGCCCAAGGCGCGATTGTGCGAAAAAGAAAGGCAAGCGACACTTTTCCCTCCTCCCGCAAGGCTCCCTGCTGGTTTTGCCCTCCACGGAGGGGTCAGTGGATCGCGAGTCCTGAACGCACGCTGCGGCAAACATGCAAGCGGAGTGATGTTCTGAACTGAACTGTATTGTATCCAGCCAGGGTTAGGCTCCGCGAATTTTTAGGACACTCCATTTGATGCCAAACAGAGCCGTTGCTGCTGCTTCGCATGCATCCGGGATTCATGACCAAGCAAAGAACTTCCACATCCCTACCTTTCCTCGCGGTTTTGTTTCTCCGAACATTGAAAACCTGATCCAATGAAAGAATGATGCAGCAAAGTGCTGCTGCTTCGGGGCAGAAATCCACAAAGTTCGCCGTTCGATCCATGGGAAAAACAAGTTACCACTCTCAGAAAATGGGATTGTCCTACAGAATCGACTCCAAGTGACATTGTGGGGAGGCCTCATTGGAAGAGACCATCTTGATCCTTGTGGCAGAGAAACTCCCTGTTGCTGGTTCAATCAATTGGAAAGAAGTGCGAAAGTGTTCAAAACGGTGATCTTTAGAACAACCCCAATGCAAAGAACACATGCAAAACCTTGGGTTGTGTCGACAAATCATCGTGTTTTGCAACTTGGAATGGTGTTTGAACACTGTAGAGGGAGGGTTTTGCTGACATGACTGACGTCATGCAAAAACGGGCTAAAAAAACCTCCTGCGACTCCCAAGCAAGCTGGGGGCCGCGCACGCGAGCCAGGCGGTGGAATCTGCAGCTGTGCATTCCCGTTGAACCCCTGCCAGCACCATCTGTGAAACGACAGTTGCACGGTGCATATGGGACCCCAACGTCGCATGAGACACACCAACAATTGTCATGTTTCTAGGGGGTACCTTCCCCATTCTTTCCAGGCATCCTTTTTTCTACAAAACCACCCAAAAGCCTGGATAAACAGCTGGTCTCTAAAAGAACGATGGTTGAAAAAATGGAAAAGGAATCAACCCCTGGAATGTTGCGATCGTGCGTTCGGACTGTTTTCAGCCAAGTGCTTGGAGCATGACCCCGGCTCTCATGCCATGAAACGCGCGCGCCTTCGCTCCTTTTGTATCCGGTGGTGCCATCCTCGACGTTGCACACAACTGGGTGTCAAACCCAAGGCTGCAACTAAGAATTGGTGCACATATATATATATATATATGTATATATATTTGGGAAAAGCAGTTGTCAATATCCTGGTTCGCATAGGTATCCTTTTGAACAACAAAGCCAGTACTAAGAATTGGCCATCCCAATTTGAGTTTTGACAAAACTCGACACGGGTCATTTAGCAGCTGGAAAGCAAATGTTGGGCGAACTCCTGTTTGGCTAACACAGAAGCACGAAGGCATTCCGCCGGTGGCAGAGGGCAACTAGCAATGTGAGGTTGAAAACATTGGTGGTACACGCAAACGACGGCAGTGTTGCTTGTTCGATCTGTTTTGTTTGAATGTGTGACCGACAAGAATAGCCCTATGTCTCTGGCAGGTTCGGGAACAGTATGCATGGACAACATGTTTGCCCTTGTCTGAAACTTGAACCCCGCACCCTGGTTCCTTCAACCAGGTTTCCCCTATATAATTGGTTGCTGCAAAAACCAGGGGTTCAAATCCCCAACCACCAATCCAAACCACCAATTCAGGGTTCCTTGATTCCACTTGTGCGAAGTGCCACTGAAAACAACAAAAACAAAAAGGAACCGCTCACCGGGTTCACCGAGGCTGCGGCAGATGCGGCCAGGAATTCGGCCACAACCGCACCAATCCCAACTCGAGCCAGGGCCGCAGCGTTCATCTCTCACTGCAAGAAAAGGTCAAAATGTTCTGCTGGGTGGGAAACAGTTTTCCTCCAAAAACTGTAGAAGCTAGAAGGTGGAGCCAAGACCTACCAAAATCATTCAAACTACAAATCCAATGCGGCACATGGGTGCCGCCGCGTTTGGACCCCCTGTCTTTTCCAAACCCCTCCAGCAGTCAAAGAATCCAGTCCTGGTATCACAGAATTGCCAATGGCCCAAGTTGGCACAATTGTATTGTTGTTCAGTTTGCGAATCGCTATGCGGTTGGCTGTGGCTGCTAGCGTAAAATTGAGCTCAAGGCGGAGTCATGTCCTGGGAAACACAACAAAAACACCTCACCAAAAAATATAAAATAGTAATTGCTCATGTGTTGGTCATGGTTGCCCTGGAAAAACATGCTGATGCTTTTGCGCCAACTGCAAGCTAGCAGCTAGCATCACAGCACTGTTAACAAACGCTTGCAGGAGTTCCACCGTTCAAACGTTGACATCTGCCTTTGGGCAAATACTTAGAAAGTGCTTTGCAGTGCACATTTATCCAGGGAACACATTCTGCACCCCGGGTACTTTGATGCCGAAGATTCCACTTTCCCATTTACGTCCCGCCCTGCCCCCCCCCTCCCAACCTCCCCCCAAGCCGCCACGTGTTTTTTCTTTTTCGTCACCTGAATGCGAGCATAGAAATGGACCGGCTACCGCTCCGGCAGCCACCCATTGCAAATCGAGCGTTCCGGAATGTCCCTGTTCTTTGCAACAAATACCACACCGATGCACTGCACTTCCGGGACATGACCCAAATCAAACTCCAAATAGCGCAGTTTTTATCTGGAAATAATGCCCAATGGGCCAGCGCAATCAAAGGGGATTGCAAAACAAAAACCCTTTAATGGTTGATCTGGTTTGGGCTCTCAATGCTATCCCGACGCCCGATTCTGCAGGTCGGCAGCATCTCCACGAACACTCGTGGACAGCCAAGAAACCAAACTCTCTCGGTTGTTCATTTCCAGTTCAAGAAACGACTCATCACCATGCCCGGCTGATGTCTGTTGTCTTGGTGTTTGTGGGCCGCAATGCACCCAGGTTGAAGGGAGACGTTGCACAGCGCGCCGCTTTACCGCTTTGCACACGCCGCCCCTCAGGCAAAGGTCAGTACGGACCAGGCCTGGTCAGAAACCAGTTTCACAGAGTCACTTCCAAACCAATTGAGGTGGGTGTTGCCAGGATGGTCCGATGATGTTTCAAGGGAAACAAATACAGCAATCTCTGGATATGGTACAAGTCGCCACCGACAAGCTGAAAGGGCACCTTTGCACAGGCTGATCCAAGTCTAAAAAAAGGCAGGTCCTCATCATGCAACACACATGCAAAACGTGGTTTGAAAAACTGCGGTGCGGTGAAAAGGAACAACCCGCACCCTTTGCCAGGCAATAGGTCAGCTGATGGCAAACTGTCAAACTTCCCCATAGTCCAGCACTGGTTTATGAGCATCTTCCGTGTTTCAGGTTTCCGGGCCTTTGCGTGCCAGGCTGGAACGCGCCGTACGCAGCCTGCCAACAACAGGTCAAAATTCGCAACACTACCAGGGAAAGGGCATTACAAAGTGAAGCGCCCCAGACTCGCAGTTGTCAAATTCCGTTGCACCCATAAACGCGAATCCGTCAGCAAAGAAGAACATCTAGTGTTTTCCATGCTACCCTACGACCAAAGCATCACGTCGTCTTCCTGCGCTGCATTGAGGTCTGCAGTTTGGCCCAGCTGACCGCCTCAGTTGCATTTGTGTCCCGCCCTACCCCCCCCCCTTAATCATCGTAAAACACGATAAACCAACCGTTCTCTTGGCGTGGTCATTCCAACTATGTTGTTGTGCCGCTTGCAGTGACCTGAGTTCACGACGTTCATCTGATTTGCAATCGCTAAGACCCGCACTGAAATCTCCCAGTCCAAAACCTGTGCGCACAAGCGTCGCAATGGCCAAAACATGCTCAGTAATGTTGACCCCCGATTAATAAATCGGTTTATTAATGCGGGGGTGCTCACCTCCAATAGTGATGACTCTCCACTAAAACAGGGGCACCCCCTATTAATCAAACAGGGGTTTATTAATCCGGGGTGCCCATTAATCTCAGCAGTCAGCAGTTTGCAAAAAACTGTTTGATTGATGCCCAGCCTTGCTGTTGCAGCTGCGGCTGGAATTGAGCCTCGGCGGAAGCTGGGGAGAGAGACTCGTTGATTCGTTGCAGACTATTTTGACGGCCAAACATCACGCACCATGAAGGAAAGAGTCCCCATCACACCGCGGGTATTTCGAATGGAGCTCGGGAAGCTTTCTTGGCAGGTATGAAAGGTCTCTCACATGTCCAAGGCTACGAGTAGCCACACTGAGCCCTCTCTGGGCAGGCTCACGCCGGTCAGAGCTAAGGCTTGGCAGCGCACACAAAAAACATGCCCACGGCAAATCCGGGTCCTGAATGAAGCAAGATGTTTCAAGGTCGCCCAACCTGATGATCAACCAGGATGCGCTTCATGTGTGCAAACTCACCTGTGCGCTGCATGTTTAACGACCACGAGCAGCTGCTTTGCACCTGATTCGGGTCGAAGATTTGAGCTCAGGCGTCAATTCCGCGGCGCAGCTCGCTTCCACGTTTCCGGGTCAACATCGCGGGTCTTCTCCCACAATCGAATATGTCCCAAAGCTATCATGGGAAATTCAGCAGGGTCCCAGAAAGACTTTACAAGCTGACCAGTTACCAAAGCAATGCTCGCTCACCCTCGTCGGCGACCCAGTGCTAAGCTGGCAAACCCAGCTAAGTGAAACTCGATCCCTCAGACAGAGTTCCTTGTATGGCCCATGCAACCAACATCTTGCCAAAGAGAAGCTGAAGTCAACTTGGCCCCAAAGGCGACGTTTCAACTCAGTGATAAGAATCTCTGTCTGTCAGACCGCGGCCTGGCGGAAGACTCCGCTCCCATGATCCTCTGTCGCTGTGAACCAGCTGGCTCGGCCATAGGCGTCTTGGAATTTAGCCTCACGAAGCGGCGCCGTTCGGCCGGGCGTTGCCGGATCGGTCGACACGGCGTGCGAAAAAAAAGGATGTCAGCAAACGTGGGGGTGTCTTTTCAGTGAGGGGGACCCCCCAGAATGATGGTCGTCCTTTTGCTGTCCTTTTTAAAACCATCCAAAAAAAAACAAAAACGGGTAGCCTCAAAAAGGACACACGCAAACAAGCAGAAGCAAAACCAAAGTTTACCTTTTGCTCAGCTAGCAGTAGGCGTGTTGAAACATACTGCGTCACTGTGTCCCCCCACTCCGCCGGCGCAAACTGTCTTGCATGTTAGCTGCAATTAGGTACATCCACGCATTAAATATTACAAATATTGTACATTGAACGCACAAACACTGCACTGCAAAAGCTATCAATTCATAAACTTGTCACGTGATATTGGTGGTTTTGTTTGTGTTTTGCTCTTTTTTTTGGTCGCTGCCAACCATGTCCACCATTTGGCTTGCCAAGGGGCTGCGCAGACTGCACCCTAAGATTGTCCGAACATTGCAACAACGCCCGCAACTGGCGGCATGTCAATTGCGCACGCTGTCATCTGGAAGCGGCCAGCCAATCATCGTTGCACATGTTCAAGGTGGCCGATAGACCGGCCAACCTTCCAGAGCTGTTCCTCCGCACGTGTAATGGAACCCCCTACAAAAACAAAGTGAGCCGCGGAATCTGGCTGCCTCCGGCCTTGAAGGACTCGTCAAAGTGCTTCCCCTCCGAAAAGTCGATGTCGTGGCCAAAGACCACGGTGTCAATCACCGACTTCAGCAAGGGCGCGTGGAACTTCTCCCTGCGGGCGCTCGGCTCACTGCGCAGTTACCTGGAAACCGATTCCGGGTGGATGACTCCCAATCAAAGCCGGCTCACTAGGTGCTTCTGCGAAGCTGAACCTGGCACCAAAATAGTCTACCCAAATCCATGTAAAGAAATTAACAGCCGGCCGCACCTACTTCTGGCTATCATCTACCCGGGTCTTGAGCAAGTGGATCAAATGATGCGGACATCTCTGGACATAACCCATGCAGTGATTTGTTTTTGCTATTCCAGGCTCAACCTCGGCCCTCGCTACTTTCAGCCGCGCACCGGTTTCCGGTTAGCCCTTGGCAGGTTCGCAATCACAATAGATACATTTCCGGATGCAAAGAAACAAAGACTTAAAGACACGCCAAAAGAAGATTGAACATATTGTCCAAAACTTCCGCTGCTACCTCTTAGCATAAGAACCACGTTCAGCTGACGAGATGGGGAAATGGAGGCCCAAAAAATGGAAACGCGCCATCTGCCTGCCGCCGTCCAAGTGGGGCAAGCACCTTGGCCGGCTGGCCGAGAGGCATCCGTCCTCAGCACGCACGCACTGGCACGGGGCCCTTGCTGCTTTCACTCGGGCGGAAGGTAAATCACTCCGAAGCTTCCTCCAAAACATCCCTTGACCAAGGTCAACACAAGCATCCATAACGATAGCTAAGGCCCCAAGAGCATTTCCAACAGACAGGATGAAAGAAAGCCACACACACACACATTACTCTAAAGCTGAGGTGCCCTTTCTCCTTCCATGAGGGGCTGTCACAAGGCCAGAACATCCTCACTAAATTCACGCTCGAAGCACTTCCCAAGTTGGAGACCCCCCCCCCTCCCCCCCCCTAACTGCCAGGGGGCGCGAGTTTTATGCATCGCCTCATCCGGCAAACCCACTGGCTCTGCGCCCCAGCGTGTCTCCGCAATGGCTCGCCTCAAGGCTGGGGATGTCACTACCTTTGAACCCTTCAAGCGCACATCGGTTCAGAGGGCTTCCCACAGACATCTGGGTGAGTTGGATGCTTTCGCCGCAAGGAAAAAAAGTAAATAGCTTTCATCATGCGGTCGCATGTGTGCACGTCTGTGTGTGGTCATTGTACCAAGCTTTCAGCTGAGCAGCCGGTACCGGCTGTGTCGGTAGAGCCTCAGGCACCCATCCAGGAAACGCAGAGACAAAGAGAAAAAAGGAAACGGAAGGGGAGAAGGGTTGAACCTTGGGTTCTTTGCTGACAGGCGGGGCTTGCTTTTCGGGCTTCGCTTCCAAAGGCACCAGCATGTGTGGCACTCCCCCCTGCAAACTATCCCCCATCCATTTGGGCCCACCTCCGCTCAGCTTGTTGGACGCTTTGTCTGTTTTGCAGCCGCATTCAGGGTAGTGTCCATGCCTCCCCCCCCGAGCCCAGCCGCGGAAGTTGGTCGCGCTGCAGGCTGGGGGGGTGAGAAGCCCAGGTGTTCGCTACCAGCCGCTGTCGGAAGATGAAGTTGTCCTGGTCTCAGGATGGACGGAACCGACTTCTCTCATTTTCTCAAAGGAAAAACAACAAGGAAATCAAGAAGCTGCATGGAGAATCTAGGTCGATCCCTCATTCTCTCAAGCACCCTCCTCAACACAAGTACTCGAAAACCAAGATCGGAAGCAAGCATCACGCAGCAGGGCGGGATTCGTCACTTTTCGGAGGAACGCGGCAGGCTTCCCGTAAGCTTCGCTAGGTGACTTGGTGCTCAACTCGATGCCGGCAGCCTATCTCTGGCACTCTTGTGTTGGGACCTGAACCTTTGCGCCGCTTTTTTTAGGGGAAGGTGGAAGGAGGGGAAACGCACCCTGCCACCAAACCAAACAACGGTAAACCCATTGGCCCAGCGCCACCCCTATGGCGTGGACACTAGAGGGTGTACATTGTATGTTCCAACCACCCTCTTTAGCCCATCCAGAAGGCCGGCTGCATGGAGAAACCCCCGGCCCAGCTTGCCAAGCTGCATGCAAGCTGCCGCAGCCTGCAGTATTGATGCGCGGCTGACGTGTTGCCCATGCAAGCCTATCAGTCGTGGCCTCTAGATCGGCTAGGAAGCCAGTCAGTCAGCCAGCCGGCAGCCAGCCGGCAGCCAGCCAGCCAACAAGCAAGCAAGCGAGCAAGCGAGCGAGCGAGCCAGCGAGCCAGCGAGTTCGCCAGCCAGCCAGCAAGTAAGCAAGCAAGCCCACCAGGCCACCGACAGACCGACACAACGACCCAACAACAAGCAAGCCTGTACAGCAAGGTTTGGGTGCGCTGACTTGGAAGGAGCCCCTGATCACTTGCATCATATTGTCATGTTTTTTTGGAATGAAATCACTGTCTGCAACTGTCGAGGCAAGCCAGAACAGTTGGAAGCGTTCAACACTTTGCCATCAGCAGTTGCAATCAACAACATCAAGATGGGCCCTTGCAGACCCACGTTCCCTGTTCAAACCATCCCCAGTGGGATCCTCCCCGCTCCCTCCTCCCACATGAAGCGTAGACTCACACGGGGCACGATGTGGAAAGGGCGGCTTGCTAGGAAATGATTTTGATCCACCCACCAGCTCATTAAAAAACCCTGAAAGTTAGTTCTCGAGACGATGGGGGCATCTTTCACACATGACACATGCTCAATGGCACTGGGAGACACACAAACAGCCGGCAATCCCACTGAGCAGGATGCTATGGAGTTCTGTCAGCCATATTCGCTCATGGGACTTCAGGCCAAAAGCTTGGGAATGAGCGGCATCCGGGGCCAAAGGCTGCCCAACCTGACCAACCTCACAGCCAGGGAGCCAATGGGCGCGCTCATTGCGGCGCCCAGCGGCCCAGTCGAGGCTTGCAGCCAGGAGTTGGTAGAAGCATTCAGCAGTCGGCCTGCTGACCCATGGTTTGGTGCTCAGACTGTGTTTGGCAAAGAGTTCCTTTTTGGAAAGGGCCGTTGCCTTGGCACCCAAGCCACTGTGACGTGAGGAATGGAAAGGCTTAGGCAAAGCGAGGGGGATGGAGATGAGAGCTGGAAACGGCCAAAAGTCCTTCTCGCCAAATCATTGAATGGTAAGGAAGGGTATGATGGAGGAGGGAAATGTACGGAGATAGAAAGGGATGAGCAGGAAAATAATAATAGAAGATTCCATGCTTGTCTCGGTGGAAGGGTAGGCAGTTGCTTCTTGAACCCGAGGGAAAGCCAGAGACAACTGCAGTCATCATCATTTGTGTGTGTGAAATCATGTGCCATATGCTTCCCTCGCATTCGGCAAATGCGGCTTTTAAGTGAGTCGAAGATCAGGGAAACTACTTCCAACCAATGGCTTCCAATCAAGGTGATCCCTTGGCAACATCTGCGATTTGCATGGCTGCATGTCAATCTGATCCCGCTGACCGGAAATAATGCAAAGCCGGGTGCGCACGTCGATCATTGTATGGATATGCACGAGCTCCCTGCCATATTCTTGGGTTCGCGGATGAATGTTCAATGCCAACCCGGGATGCATCCACTTTGTGGATGAGGCCGTCTTCCCCGAAAAGCGAAGGAGCCCTCGTGATTTTTCTCTTCGCATCCTCGGCTATCAGCCGCCCTTCTCTTTGCAAGCCGCTGGAGTTCATGTCGGGGTGTCCCGACGGGCTCACCATCTCCGAATCCTCCAGCGCGTCGAAATCCACGGACTGGCTGATGTCGCGGCTGGTCACGGCGCGCGAGGCCAGCGGGTCGTCATTGCCGGTAAACCTGCCAAGAAAAAAGCCAAGCCCATCCAACTGGGCCCCTTATTTTGCCATCGTCACAACCCCCCCCCCCGCCGGGTGGTACAGTAGGTCCTCAAAGGAAAACAACCCCAGCTCAAAATCCCCAGCCCAACGGGCAAGAAAGAACCAAAACCAAGAAGGCAGATTGACAAACAACTTGACGGCCAGCTAACGTTAAAGCCTCGACTGCTCTGAGCGGCAACGCCTCAAGGCGAGTTTAAGTGCTCGAAAGAAGCTCGGACCCCCGTAAGTGGGCCTGTAGCAAAGACTTGATTAAGACTTCGCCTGATTCTTTCAAGGAAAGAATGAACGAACGAACGAACCAACCTAAATGAAATTGGATTGGCCCAGGCTGCAAGCATCCTCCTTCTGTCCCTGGCCCTTCCCACCCTCCCACAAACACGGAAACCCTTTCCGGAAGACTAACTAGTGCCCTCAAGCCACTTTTCCGGGCAATTACCAAGACCGCTTTGTGCCCCTTCATTATGGGTGCAACCCCACCTGCTGTCGAACTTCAGCGTGCGCTTGGACCAGTCGTACTTGTTCGTCCCGAAGTCCAGGAGGAGACTTGGCGCAAGCAACGCAAGCGGATTGCCTAAAGCTGCCAAAAGAGGACTCAAACATCACCCTGCCAAGAGGAAAGTGGCTTTCAATTGGCCTGAGCGCCGAAAATATGGGGAACCCCTTGGAGTAGGGCCTGCCAGAGTGAATAGTTTTTGGGGATGAGGTGGACCTGCATTTCCCCTTGACATCAGGTAATGTGTGAGCTGAAGTCGGCAAATCCAACCCCAGGAAAACGCTAGATTTTGCCGGGCAGGGTGGGTGTTGCATTCCTTTGCTTCTCAGCCTGCTTCGCGTGCCGGTGTGTGAAGGCAGCTTCCAAAATGTTATTAATTAGAGGTGCACCCACCTAAACAAAAAAAAAACTGCCGAAGTTCTCAACCGCCCACATCCAGGCCTGGGCTTGGCGTAAACACTGCTCCCTGCCATCTCACCCACTGCATGAGCCGAGGTCCCTCGCTCCGTTCGCCGGGCCACTCCGGGGGCGCTTGCCACAGCTCCACCAGCTCCACGCGGCCCTCTTCGCGGGCCTTGCGCTCGGCCAGCTTCAGGGCCTTGTCGAACCTGAGTGGAACAACCCACACGGACATGAAGCCGGCGTTCCGATTCTGGACCACTAGGGCCTGGAGAAAAACAACACCCCTTGTAGTTCTTTAAATTAAGCATTACGGGCTATTGGACACCCAACGACAATAGGTGCCCTCCCGTGTTCCCAAAAAAAAGACGTGAACTGTTGGTTGGGAGGGTGAACGGCTGTAGCATCGCAGAACCTGCGCTGCAAGCGGCTCAGACAAGCTGATATCTCCGCTCCGGTCCGTGTCCAGGGTTTGCATGATCTCATTCAGCTCCTCGCCCGTCAGCTTGTGCACGCCAAGCCTGGCCCAGGATTTGCTTGTTTTCGGGGGCCATGGGAAACCTCGAGATTGCTGAGAGCTCTGGTCCCCCCGAGCCCCCTGCCTTTGCAGGCCCCTGGCAAACTCTTCAGGCGACACGGCACCGTTGCCGTTGGTGTCCAGGAACCTCAATGACACACGCACGAGCTGCTGTCTAGACATGCAAAAGTTGCCCCGAGTGGACATGGACTTCCCCGCATCCCTCCCAAATCGACCATAAACTACTGGGAACTTTGAAACAGCCTAGCGTTTGAACAACTCCAAGGGAAACAGGAGCGGTCATGAGTCAAGCGCGCTCAGACAGTCCTGCTGCTGTTGACTTGTCCCAGCGAGGAAGGCACGCACTGGCTCGATTGCGGCAGAGCTGCCGGAAAATCTCTGTCGTCCGAACCTTCCTGTGCAAGGTTGTCAGCATGCAGCGCAGCAGAGACTGCTTGGTCGTTCGCAACGAAGAATTTACCATAAACCATGTGGAGTCGGCCCCCTTTAAATGGTTGGTTGTCTTGGGCGCCTCCTTTTTTCCCCGCTTTCCTTGACTCCAAGTGCCCCGTGGCTCTCTGGCCAGACACAAGCCTTTGAGGAAGACACCAAGACCACCGGTCTCTGGGCTTCCCTGACGAAGTTTGAGGATCCCTGGAATGAGAAACCCAGAGGCTCTGTTTTTACCCTCCCTTTGCCTTCTTTGGCTTTCCAGATTCGCCGGTCCCGTTTTGCTGCGTTGCCATCGCGCTAGCTGCCCCCCCGGGGTCCTTCGGTTCAGGACCCCCTTAATCTTGGCCAAGATCACGTCCCCGGTCGTCATTGGGTCCAGCGTCACCGTCTGCTTCCGGCGGTTGCTATTCATCCGTCCTCCGAGAAACGAGAAACGAGGAACGAGGAACGAGGAACGAGGAACGAGGAACGACCACGAGAGCCGCTGCCGTGAAGAGCTTTGGATCGTGACTTCAGCCTGCAGACTTGGATTCGAAGACGCCTTTCGCTTACTCATCTTCCACTCGTTGCATCTAAGCATCTCTCGCGCTGTGTCAGGCTGCCATGCCTGTCTTCACCTGCGGAGCAGGCTGCCATGCCCACCCGCTTGTCCAGGGGTCCCAGTGTCTTCATGAATCACCCCACTGGTTTGAATGCAAAAGGGGAACCACCCTAATTGTTGGGTACTTTTGGGGGGCCCTGTCTCCCTTTGCTTGTTCTAAGCTCCACATTGTATGAGCTAACAAGAGAAAGGGGGGGTTCCATCCGCTCATCGGCCCCACTCTGCTAGGAGGGTTAACTAAACTTCCTTTGAACCCTGGGTCTTCCAAAAATCCGACGTTTGTGTCCAAAAAGCCAAAGACTGGGTCGGCGTCCGGGTTCATCCTGGAGAATTAGAACTGCCTGGTGCATTGTTTCAGCCCAGTGCGAAAAGCGTCATGCCAAGCTGCCGGGCTGCCAGCTCTCGCTGTGCTCCCGGTTCGTTGACGCAGTCAACTCCCCATCCTGGACGTGCGGCGGAAAGCTCCGCCGGTGCTAAGATGGTATCCACTCCCAGCCCACCCCCAGGCAAGAAACTCAAGAAACTCATGCCTTTGGTATAGTGGCGGTGGTGTATCCCATCAAATCGCTGGAGCCGGTCCAGCCGCTGACAAGCTTAAAGCTTCCGTTGTAAAACCAGAGTTGCGCCAAACCATTGAGAAACCCCTGGTTGATAGACGTTTTGGGGATCCTACCCGCCGCGTCCAATGCCTCCGGCCAACCTTAGAACCTGGGACCATTAAAGTGCATCCTCTAAATTACTCTCCTAACGATGTGCTTAACGGGGAACAAAAGCTAGGCGCCAGAAATGCATAGCCCTTGGAACCACCAACGGTCGTTGGTGCCACGCACTGCCCCGTGACAGGTCCTGCACGTCTTTCAGAGTCAAGGCGGGGATGGTGCCAGCAGGCGACCTAAGACACAGAAGTTTAGTCCAGAAAACGGTTTGGATGTGGCTTTTGTGGATCCAACCTGTGGGATATCAGAAGAGTACTAAAAGATTACTACAAAAGAACCAACAGGGGGAAGAACAGGGGGAGAACAGGTGAAATCCACAAAAAGCGCATCCAATCCGTTTTGTAGATTTAGTGGAACCTCTGTGTCTAACTCGAAGCGTGAGACAAAGGAGTATGTTCGAGAGAGATTGGACTTACTACGCCTCATTGGAGGCAAACCTTGGGGGTGACTAAAGCTTGGGATTCCCTGCTGGCTGGGCTGACAAGCAGCAAGGGCGAACAAAGCAGTCTTGGTGATTCACTGACTTTCGGGCATATCCCCAAAACCTGCAATGCCAACGCCCCAACCTCCTCCTTGGGCCATTGACATGCCGAAAGGCTTGGTGCGGGTCAGTCTGGCCGCCAGCTTGTCCAGCAGAATGTACCCCTCTTTGTCCTCACAAGTCAGACGTGTCCTGTCCCTGAGCATCGTGTCTTAAGTCGTGCAAATTGGAGGCACACAGGGCGGACCCAAAAGACGAAAACCAGGGCAACTCCCTCAAACACCGGGGCGATGGGCGCTGGCCTATGGTGACGCACTTAGCAGCTTTGAGGGGCCAAGACGCGCGAGTACCAACCCCGGATTCGTACTTTTCGTGAACCCCGGGCCAACCCGAGAACCGGCTGGCACCCAAATAGGTGGGCACTATGGTTGAAAAGCGAAAAGGAAAGAGACGTTGAAGGAAAAGGAAAAGAGACGTGCTTGTGGAGGCGACGTTGAAGGGCGAGGCGAAAAGGAAACTACCCCATTTTGGGGAGTTCTCTCAAAAGGCAAACGCAAATGGGATAGTTTGGCGGCCCTGGGGCGCTCTTGAGAAAAGTCACGAACCAGCCTAAAATCCACACACCACCCATTCTCACCAAATGAATGGGACTCTTTCTCACACCTGGCCCATTGCCTCAAGAGAAGAAAAACAAAAGTGATGCCCGGACCAAACTCTGAAAACTTGGCTGCTGTTGGCCCCCCTGTAAAAAGTTTAACTTTTTGGAGGCTTAGTGGAAACCCCTTGATTTCCCAAAAAGCTAAAGTCTAAAGATCCAACCCAGTAGCAGTCAAGAAAAGACCCCTCCGGCGCTTCATCCCCGGCTTTTGCCAATCGATTCGAGGCCCGTCCTGGTCGACGTTGGCAATCAGCTCCTGAAGGTTTTTTTTTCTGGCCATCACACCAGCCACCGTCTTCAAACGTCAAATGGGAATACCTTTTCTTGGTTGACGTTGGAAGAGGAGCCAAAAATTAGATTTTAGCAGGTAAGTGGGGATTTCCCACAAAACCACAATAAGCAAACATGCAAAATGCTTCCCAACGACAACCATGTTTTACCCCGCAGGACATTCTGGACCACACAAAGTGAGAATACACTTTCCTTCACCTTCCATGTGTTGGCAATCCTCACGAATGTAAAACCCGCAACCGGAACCTCCCCGAAACTGTTTCTCCGGGAACGGAATCTTCCCGCAATCTGCCCTGGACAGAGAGACAGACGAGACAGACAGACGGACAGACAGACAGACAGACAGACAGACAGACAGACAGACGGACGGACGGACGGACGGACGGACGGACGGATGGACAGACAAACAGACAGACAGACCGACAAACAGACAGACCGACAAACAGACAGGCAGGCAGGCAGACAGACAGACAGACAAACAAACAAACAAACAATCACACATGAACAAACAAGCCAAGCAAAAGAGCCAGCAAACCCGGGAGGAAAAAAACACGAAGTAGCCAGATAGCTCGAAGGACAAGCCCCGCCATTCAGGGACCACAGGTCCCCTCGCCCGCCTGCCACTTGGCCTCCGGCAGCTGGAAGCCCAGCTTCCCCAGATGGGCGCGGAAGGCTTCGGGGCTGAGGCACCCAGAGGAGCCGCCCTGAGGGCGGTTAGGAGCGCGGGTTTTGGGGGGGATTGGGGCGCATAGGTGGCCTTTTGGAAAGATAGATGGCCCTATGTTTGGGGAATTAGGGGCGAAAGTTTCTGCTTGGGGCAGTTTCAGGCTTGGCTGGTTTGGAAATGAGCTCCTTTGGGATCGGCCATGCTCTAAGCTACCCTCATGCGGGTTGCTCCCCAGCGGCATCACATAAAGGATGAGTAATTATGCCTGCTTGGCGTCATGCAACAGGGACACCGACATGAGCTTCGGGCGACCAGCAATGGTTCCAACAAGTGGCCTCGAAGGGGTGCCCACCAAATCGCCCTTGGAGGCCACCACAAGGCAGTGGTGGGAGAAGCGAACGGGCCCCCAAAGCACCAGCCGCTGCAGCCAAGCATCCTCCAGCCGCAAAGTTGTCAGGACTTCATCGACGCCTAGTGCGGCTAAGGCACAAGAAGGCACTTGCATCTCCAAAGTCTGACCATTTTGGGTCCTTCTGTTTGCTAAGGTGGCAAGAGGGAATCCCCAATTCCCAACGTGTCGGACACCCGCTTTCACTAAAAACGAACTTGGACCTGTTTGTACATTGCAGCCCTTTTTGGGATCGAGCCCCCTTTTCCAGAACTCCCGAAACTATCCTTCACATGGTGGTGACATTGCCATCCCTCCTTCGACCTGCCGCCAGGAAAGGGTATGGTTATCGGCCCCAGCCCAAGTGGTAGGGTGGTTTGGAGGTCTGACTTGGGACGCCTGAAACCATCCTGACACGGATAGGGCGGCAAAACAAAGTCATTTAGCATTAAAGCACTTATTTCAAACGTCCAAAAAAAGAACTTTTGAAGCGTCAAAAAAAGCGTATTATTGGGCGCCATGTTGCTGCAAAACACAAAAACAGACTGGAAGCAACTGCGGCATCAAAACAACAAGTTTGTTAGGCTTCAAAAAACAAGCTTGTCGTGCATGACTGGGGTTGCTTTGTTTAGACTTTGTTGGGGGTGGGTTTACTGTGGGTTCCTTCCTTCCTTGCTTCCTTCAATCCTTCCTGCTTGCCTGCCTGCCTGCCTGCCTGCCTGCCTGCCTGCCTTCCTTCCTTCCTTCCTTCCTTCCTTCCTTCCTTCCTTCCTTCCTTCCTTCCTTCCTTCCTTCCTTCCTTCCTTCCTTCCGTCCTTCTTTTCCTTTCCGTCCTGGCTTCCTTCCTTCCCTCCTTCATTCCTTCCTTCCTTCCTTGCCTTGCTTCCTTCTTTCCTTCCTTCCTTCCTTGGGTTGGCCTCCAAGTGCAGGCAAAAAAGAAGCGCATTGGTTTTGGTTGCACGTCAAAGCCAACCAAAATGAGCGCCCGAAGTCGTTTGTTTGAGCTCGGGTGAGCTTCTGTTGATTTGGACAGCAGTGGGAGGGCTTTGCAGTTCCTCTTGGTGTATGGTTTGGATTTGGACTTGAACGCCCGAGTCTTGGTTTCTGAGGGGGTTATCATTAAAACAAGCAAGCATCACAAGCTTGTTAGACATCAAGAAAAGGCGCATTGCCATTCCCAAGGCAAATGTGAAAAAGGAAGGAAAGAAGGAAGGAAGGAAGCAAGGGAAGGAAGCAAGGAGGGATTACACAGCCAGAAATGAAGTCGTAGGCGCTGATCCGCGCCCGGTCCAGCTTGCCCAGCAGGCTCTGCAGCACATCGGGGGACTGCGCCTAAACTGGGCGACTGGGCCAGTGCCAGAGGCAAAACTAGATCGTTCTTGGGGGCAGCAACAAACAACGCCATCTTTTCTGAAGAGATCTCCTCTCGGGAAGCCCTCTTCTGAGGGCCGTGCTTGGGCAAAAGACTTCGTTTTGTACATTGCGGATTTGTACATTGCGGACGGTCGCTATCGACAGGCCGCGAGGTGCAACAAAACGCGCAAAGGAGACCAGGGCGAGCTGGGGGTATCCAACTTCGGCAGCGAACGAAGCACGAGGCGCAGGCATGTCGCTTGTGAGATACTCGGGATTGCTGCACGCGTGCTTAATCCATAGGGGGTTCCCATTTTAGAGACTATCGCATGGCGTGGCCAGACCAGAGTGCCATTTCATGGAACGCCGGAGCAAGAATCAAAGCTGCTTGTTTTCGAGAAAGGGGGATGCTGTTCTCAACAATCCATGGAATGGCCTCAGGGGAAACAAAACCTTACGATTTGCAGGCTCCTTTACAGACGGCAAAAACAACTGCCGCCGCAGCAAAAGGCTCGAGCCTTCTGGGCCTCAAGGCTAAAATGCTGAACAAGCCCGCCAAGTAAAGTTCGCAGCTTGCCGACTCCACTGGTAAGCAAAATGGGGACCATGTGTTGAGTTCGAGCCACGCTACCTGCTCCAGAAGAAATGTATAAGGCGTTGCCGCTTTCATCTGACACCAGAAACAAAATAGACAACTGGGTTCGGGCTTCCAACGCATCCTTCAGGCCTCAAATGTCACAGCTGACATCGATGCACCAGTTGGACCTCCGCAAACGGTTTATTTTTCCTGGTCTGTTCCTGTCAGGGGC